CACGGCTGTCTTTGGCATTGTTCTTCCTCCCAGTTGTGACCCCTCTTATTTCTGTCATGTCTCCTCTTCTGTCACTGCACCTTCATGACTAGGATCCCACTGTGTCCTGTTGCTGGAGGGCTTCTCTCCAGGTTCCCCAAGCCCCGCAGTCCCACAATCCACGTATAAAATAATCACTCAGACGCTTATATTACTTATAAACTGTATGGCCATGGCAGGCTTCTTGCTAACTGTTCTTATATCTTAAATTAACCCACTTTTATAAATCTATACCTTGCCATGTGGCTGGTGGCTTACCAGCGTCTTTACATGCTGCTTCTCCTGGCGGTGGCTGCAATGTCTCTCCCTTCTTCTCCCTGTTTCCCCAATTCTCCTCTCTCCTTGTTCCGCCTATACTTCCTGTCTGGTCACTGGCCATCAGTGTTTTATTTATATAGAGCGATATCCACAGCAGTGTCCCCTGTGAAGAAGGCAGAGCAGAGCGGCCGCACCCTGATTCAGACCCAGGCCGGGTTGTGGTACAAGGTCTCATTGTGGCCCAAGGTCACGGTTTCCTGAACAGAAGTCTCAAGTTGCAGCAAAGTCTTCCCTTTTAAGTAATGTTCACTGCTCAGCTATGAATTTCAAAAATTTGTCTTTCTTTTGAGAACAGCTCTCACTGTGTAGCTTGGCTGTCTAGGATCTGGCTCTACAAATCAGGCTGGCCTCAAACTCACAGCAATCCCCCTGCCTCTGCCTCCCCAGTGCTGGGATTAAAGGTGTGCACCACCACATCCAGCCTTTGGAAACCAGACTTTCCTTCTCACTGCTCCCACAGGGTTTTCACCTTGGATTTAAGCTCCAGATAAAATCTACCCCTGAGGAAGAAGAAGTGATGGCACATTCAGAATGACACTGTAACAAAGAGTGTGTGTAGAAGAAAAGCTGATGTCAACTTTAAAAGAACACAAGTTACAAACCAGCGAAAATGGGCATGAATATGGAAAAAAACTGCTACAAATCTAGAATATAAAATATTTGCTTCTCAACTCATTAATCTAAATAAGCAGAAAGCCACTCTACTTGTTATTTATGCAAATTTATTATATTGTTTTATTTTATTTTGTAGTGCTGAAGATTGAACTCAGGACCTGATACATCCTAGGCAAGTGCTCCACCGCTATGCTGTACCTCCACCACCAATATATTTACTAAGTGCAAATGGATTTTCAATACACTGCTGTAGGCAGATGGACTTGTAAGAAGAAAGTAAGTATTTAGTATTGGGGAAATCCATCAACCTAGAATTCTATATCCAGACAAATGATCCTTCAAAAGTAAAAGAAAACTAAACATCATCAGGTCAATCAGAAATCCAGGAATTTAATCATCATCAAACTTATCATGAAAGATGGAAACAAATACAGAGACATTATGCTGAGAGTGAGAGACCTTGGAACACTCAGTCCTACACGGGATGTCTCCATCAAATCCCTCCCCTCAGGGCTCAGTGAACTGGGAGCAAAAGGAGGCAGGAAGAGTGTGAGCCAGAGGGGATGGAGGACACCAGGTAAAGAAAGAAGGCCCTCAACTGAGCGAAGTTCGCATGAACTCAAGGAGTCTGAGGCAACATGCAGGGCCTGCGTAGATCTACACCACATGGGGCCCTAGAGCTGGAAGAAGTGGACACACACCCCCATTCCTAAACCAGAAACAAGCTCTAACTGATAACCACTTGCAAATGAAATTTACTTTTCTACAAGAAAGTCTCACTGGGAAAAGAAACAACTCTTAAGGGTAGGCTGTGCACCCTGTGTGGCCAGCAGAAAATGGGTCAACCAGACCTTTGGAGGTTCCTTGTCTTATAGTGTCAGTTCAGGGCTGTTGCTTCCTCCTCCTTTTCCTCCTCCTCCTCCTCTTCCCCTTCTTCTTCTCCTCCTCCTCCTCTTCCTGTTCTCCTCCTCCTCCTTCCTCCTCCTTCTCTCCCTCCTCCTACTCATCTTCTTTTTCTTGTTCTTGTTTTTTCCATTTTGTTTTTTAAGTTATTATTTTTTCTCTTCTTTTGCCCTAAAGGTCTTTTACATACATATTTTGGCTTCTGGTTTTGTGCTTTTATGGGATTCCTGAGTGTGTGAACAAGTGAGTTTCTGCATCTTTATCTATCTATTTCTTTTTCTTGGGCTCTTTTCCTTCTATTTATTTTGTCTTATTTTGAAGTGTTTATTTCTTGTTTTACTATATATTATATATTATATTATATTATATTATATTATATTATATTATAATCTGATAGAAGCCTGTTTGCTCTCTAATGAGAGACAGAAAGGGGGTAGATCTAGATGGGAAGGGAGGTGGGGAGGAACTGGGAGGACTGGAGGGAGGGGAAACCATAATCAGAATATATCATATGAAAATAAAATCTATTTTCAATAAAAGAAGAAAAAAGAAAGTATTTCTTAAAATAAAGTTGAGAACAGGAACTTAAAAAAAATTAAGAGAACTTCTAGGAAGGGCCCCATGCCAGAGACTTGGCTCTACGTGAAGGTAGAAACAAGCAATAAGACAGCAGTAAATGGCTGTGCATGCCAGGTTTGTGTCAACTCGACACAAGCCAGACTCATCCGGGAAGAGGAGCCTCAACTGAGAAAACACCTCCATCAGACACGTCTGTGGGCAAGTCTGTGAGGCATTTTCAGTGACTGGTGTGGGACATCCAGACACTGTGGCCAGTGCCACCCTGGAAACAAAGTCCCGGAGTGGGTAAAAAGAAAACCTGAGCAAGCCAGTAAGCAATGCTCCTCCATAGCTTCTGCCTCAGTTCCTACCTTCAGGTTCCTGCCTTGAGTTCCTGCCCTGATGTCCCTCAGTGATGGCCTGTGACCCGGAAGTGTCAGTCAAACAAACCTTTCCTCCCCCAAATGCTTCTGACCACGGCACTGGGAAGGAAACTGGGATAACAGGTTATTTCTTCATATTCTTAGTTAGCCTGAAAGACAACTTCTTAAAAAAATTATCAATAATAATAATACATTGAGGGGTCATAGCATAGGAGTAAGTGCATGGCACACTCTTGTGTGATATGTAAGGGAGAAATTGAGGTATGCTGTTGTAAGGAACCCACATTGCATGTGAGGGTGTGTGGTACAGCTTTATGTAAAGATGGGTGTTGGAATAGTCTTTTTGTACACTGTGTGAAGATGTACCTCACCTGCCTAAGGTACCTTATGATCGGTTTAATAAAGAGCTGAATGGCCAATAGCTAAGCATGGGAGGCTAAGAGGGTCTTCCAGGAAGAGATAGGAACTATGGGAAAGAGTCTGAGGCTGGAGATTCACCACTCAGACTTGGAGGAAGTCAGATATATGGTACTGAGGAGAAGCAATGTAGATTAGTATAAATGGATTAATTTAAGTTTTAAGAGCTAGTTGGGAACATGCCTAAGCTAAGACCAAGCTTTCATAATTAATAAAAAGTCTCTGTGTCATTATTTGGGAGCTGGCTGTCCACAGAAATACCTGTTATAGATGGGCTTAGCCAGGTGATCAAGGCACACAGCAATGAAGATAAAAACACATTGACTCTGGGTGTTCTCAATAGAAAGGATGCTTAATTTTGATCTTGACACAATGTAAAAATCAGCTTGCGTGGGGGGGCTTAATGAGAGACTGTCTAGACTAATTTGGCTTGTGGTTATGTCTGAGCGATTTTTTAAAAAATATTTTTTATACAATATATTCTGATTACAGTTTCCTCTCTGTCATCTACTCCCATATCCTCCCCAGCTCCTCACCCATCTAGATCCACACCTTCTTTCTCTCTTTCTTTAGAAAACAAACATGCAAATAAAACCAACCAGAATTTTTTTTAAAAGAAAAAGCACATGAGAAACATACACACACAGACACACTCACACATCACATACATTCCGTAAAAATACAAAATTGGAAACCATAATATACAAGCAAAAGACAATAAAAAAAATTGCCCAAAACGAAGCAACATGAGACAAAAAAAATCTGCAAAAATACTTGTGTGATTTTTTTTGCAATGGTCATCTACTGCTGGGCGTGGGGCCCGCCTTTAAGTGTGATTTGCATACTCAATGAGACGCTGTTGGAGAAAACTGCTTTTTCCTTTGCAAGTAGTCGTCAATTGGACCTAGCTTCTGGGTTAGGAATGGAGTTTGCGTCTCTGTCCCCATCTCAGTGCTGGAAGGCCGTCTGCCTTGGACCTGTGCAGTCCAGTGCATGTTGTCGCAGTCTCTGAGTTTATGTGCGTGTCAGTCCTACTGTGTCTGGAAGGCACCGCTTCCTTGGTGTCCTCCATGCCCTCTGCTCTGGAAAGCTTTCCTCCTCCTCTTCCTCAGTTCTCTGAGCCCCGAGGGGGGAGGGGGGTTTGATGAAGACATCCCATTGAGGACTGAGTGCTCCAGTCTTCTATGGAGGGTTTTTATTTAAAGTAGGATTAATTGAGTAGAAAAACAGAGCTGAGCGTGGTGGAACCATTCACAGCCTCGGTCCTGGACGGAGTAAAGTGAGGGACTGAAATGAACACCAGCATGCACGTGTTAATTCACTGTTCTCTGCTTCAGCCCGAACCGCCCCTTAACGGTGCTCTGCCTTGGAACTGTGAGCCAAGCAAACCTTTCCTCCCCTAAGCTGTTCTTCTCAGGGTATTTGTCACAGCACCAGGAGACAAAACCGAGACAGCACAGTGACGAAAAGGGACTTCACCTAAGCGTCTCACAAACACACAACCCCAGACTAACCACGGAAAAGGTATCAGGCAAATCCAAGCTGAGAGACGTCTACAAAGTAATCAATACCCTCAAATCTGTCAAGGTCAAGGAACACCTGAGAAGCTGTTATACTTAACCTGGCCTCAGGAGACTGGACTGAATGTGTTAAGACATCCTAGATGGGAACTGTAACGGAAATGGTAGGTAATGATGAAGCTGATCTGAGTGAAGTGTCTGCCTTTTATTTTTAACTTTATTTTATTTAATAAAATTAGTAGTTGTAGTGACTCTCCCAAACCCCATAAGATGGTGATGATAGAGAAACCTGAGTTGGGGGGGAGGCTGTGAGGATGGAGCTCTGGCTTCAGGAAAAGAGGGTTTCATGAGAGAATGGGAGGGTGAAGAGAACATGAGGAGTCACACGGAAAATCCACGGCAGACCACCATATGTACTGCTGCAGGCAGACGCCGGCAGGCATGGAAGCACGCGCTGGAGCAGGGGAACACACAGGCTGGAATGCACCTCCACAGAGACCAGTGCATAGGCCACACAGGGGTAAACACATAGGCCTGCAGATGGAAAGACACAGGCAGGTTGGTCAAGGTAAAGGCCTTGACCACAAGGGTTACAAAATCCGTACAAAAAGATAATTATAGAACACATTGCATTAATGTCTACTTTTAGGTTCACCTTCCTAGCCAGCCAAATCAACCTGGCGATCAATGAGGGGGGACAGATGTCGCAGCCAGATCGCCCTCACATCCAGAAGTTATAATTGAATGGATAACACATAATAACAAGATCTGACTTCCAGAGTTAATGATATAAACAAAGAATTAGATATCTCATATTTTTTTTTAACAATCATATCTATAACATTTAGCAAAATTGGATAAATGCTAGTTCACATAGGAAGCATCGATTTTTTAAAATTGCTGTCTAGTCAGGTATAGTGGTGAATGATTTGATCATCATACTTGGGAGTCTGTAAACCACCCGCTCAAAGTGTTTGGTCATGGTCACCCAAGCAGACCATGACAAGGCAGAGTGTTCACCCCTAGGATCTGACTACAGTTTGAAATTTGGCTCATAGTTTAAAAGACGTTGTAAGATGCATAAGCTTTCTCTGTGCTTTCTTCCTTTTCCTAAACGTGTTCACAGAAATTTTTGTTGGGGAATTATGATTAAAATTAGAAATTACACATGCAAAGTGGCTGAACCCATTGTAAGAATAGCTATAGAAACACATTTTACCAACTTCGCCCAGATGTCTTAAGTATATGTAAATGAGTAGTCACTCTTGCTCACAATGCCTTCTGGCCTATAATACAGTGACCGAGCTTGTTAGAGTGAAATGTCAATCTGCACACAATCGTTTTATTTATATATTTCCTGAACATGCTTCAAAATAGTAACTCTGACTGAGAAAAAGTAGCATACTTTTTATGGCTGTCATTAGGAGATATGCCTTTTCTTATAAAATTAATCCTAGAAAAATATCATATAAAGCTTTGAGAGGAAAATAAAAAATAAAATTTCTCTAAACCAGAACATATGTAAATAATTCTTTGAGTGTTCTACACTTGCATTCAAGGCCATTCCTGAAAATAGTCAATAAAAATTTCTCAAGTGAAAATCAAAATTTAAAAGACGTCAAAATGCAGAGAGAAGAATCTGGCGACCAGCGCTCTAGGGATGTAACCGTGAGCATACAAAATTGGCAATCTGAAGGTCTCCTTCAGGCCGAGACACCCTGACTTTGGCGGCAAATGGGGTGCTGCCAGTTGGCCAGTGAGTGGCTTCGTAAGGTTGGCAGGGAATCATGCGTGCCTGGAACCTGGTGAAGCTTGGTTTGGATAACAGATGGATGTTTGAAAAAAGCATTTCTGTAGTTCATGAGTATAAAAGGAAATAAGCATAAGAGTCTCTCCTATGAAACATGTGTAACTTTTAAACTTGTTTAAATGCAAAAGAAATAGCAAATTTGAGGTTAACTGGGAAAGTTACTATCTAGAAAAGTGTTTTTATCAAATTCTTAAACTCCGATCTCATAGCCAGAAAATATCTTCTTGTCCTCTTCAAAGACAAAGTTGTTCTCACACTTACTTGTGTGTTTGCTGAACTCAGCCATCGTACCTGTGATGGTGAAATATTCAATAACATCAGGATGCTGCTGTCTTGGACCACATTCTGTCTGAGCGCTCAGCTTATGGTGCTGTCCCTGCTGTTTTCTTCATTATCCTTAGACATTAATGGATCTAGTGCACCATGGCTCTGTCTGGGTTCCTCAGATGCTTAATGCGTAGTATGGGAAGCCTGGAGAGGCCTCTGCAATACTCTCATTGCTTCATGTTTTCATTTTGAAAATAAGCAAATGTATTATGAAATCAACATAGTTAAGAAAAACAGTGGAAGAATTAAATGATCGCATGCTACACGGCACATGACTTCTTAAAAAGCCTATGTTGTGGCAATCAGCTTGCTTCCTGTTACAGGTTTACAACACTGCTCCAGCAGAGAAGTAATGCATTTCAGTGTTGGTAACTGGGATTTTCGTATTGTTGTTACACTGGATTTATCACAGACTCACACACATCAGGATGTCCATCTCGTGTTGTATGTGCATTTCTATGACACCCAAAAACAGAATCATGGTCAACACTGGACCTAACTTGCCTCCCAGAAGCATCTATACCTTCAACTGTAAAAATTCTAACTTGACTTTCTCAACAAGCTGGTGTAGCCTGTCGGAAAGCAGAATAATACTAGTTAAGAAAATATGACTGCCCTAACTGTGGGAAAAAGTTAGTTCCTCCAAAAATAAAAATAGAGCTGTTGGACATGAGACATGATCTAGAAAGCTTGTTTCTGGATATAGATGTGTGTGTGTGTGTGTGTGTGTGTGTGTGTGTGTGTGTGTGTGTGTACATATATGTATATGTATCTCCAATAGAATTTAAAGCATTGCAAAGAGATTCATTTTCTTGTTAGTTCTGGCAGTTTTCACTACCGCCAAGACGTAGAAGCAAATGTTCATCAATGGACAAGTAGATGAGAAAATAATGACTAAGTTCAATACAATGTCACCTGGCCTCTAGAAGGAAGTGAGTCCTGTCATTTGTGACCCATGGAGAAACTTAGAGAGGTGATTATGTCAGGCAAAACAAACTAACCATGAAGGACAATTGCTACATGATGCCACTACATGGGAATGGTTTCTGGGGACAAGGAGGAGGGAGAAATGTGGAGGGGAAGTGAGTGGGGGGGTCCTAGAGTCCCATTGGCACTTCAATAACTGTGGTAAACAGTACTGCATTCTGAATTTAAAAACATGTGATGAGGGGTGTGCTTATAAGTATTCGTATCACACTCACAAACTAATGATAACGAAGGAAGATGAAGCCTTTGGGAGGTGATAAAGAGACTTATAACTTAGATTTCGGTGACACATTCACACACATACCTTCAAAGTGAAGTTGCATGCATTGTGTGTATAGCTTTTTGTAGATTAAAAAATAACTCATTAAAGTAGTTTTAATAAAAAAACACTATAGAAGCCAAACACCAAGGCTGCCTGGGTTCTAAGACAGCCCCCCCCTTCTTTCTTCTTCAGTGGTGATAGAGGTCTCATCCAGGGCTTTGCACTCACACACACACACACACCCCCCCCCCCACACACACACACTGAAAAAGCACTGACTCCAGGTCTCCTCAGCTCAGCGTTTCCAAGTTTGGGTCTGAATCCCTTTTCCAAGATAAGCGTATCAGACTCCATTCTTTCTACCTATGTGTCGTCATGCTATGATGTCACTGAGCTTTGGAATTTCAGTCACCACAGCAGCACATACATGTGCACGTGTGTATTTAGAAACAGTAGTCCTCACAGCAGTACATACATGTGCACGTCTGTATTTAGAAACAGTAGTACTCACAGCAGCACATACATGTGCATGTGTGTATTTAGAAACAGTAGTCCCATCGCAGTAGCACATACATATGCATGTGTGTATTTAGAAACAGTAGTCCTCACAGCAGCACATACATGTGCACGTGTGTATTTAGAAACAGTAGTCCTCACAGTAGCACATACATGTGCACGTGTGTATTTAGAAACAGTAGTCCTCACAGCAGTACATACATGTGCATGTGTGTATTTAGAAACAGTAGTCCTCACAGTAGCACATACATGTGCATGTGTGTATTTAGAAACAGTAGTCCTATCTGCCCAGATGTTGTTGATCCCTCTTCAGAAAAGGCTTGCGCAGAAATGCAGGGACACTTCACAGCCCGCAAAGTTCCTCAGCCATCGGCTCCCCGGGGCTCTTCCTGCCTACAGTGTCCACTTGGAAAGTGAACTCTCAGCTAGGATCAACACCACCCTTCCTGACATGGTTAGCGTTACCAGAAAGGTGGTACTAGTGCACAGAGAATAGTGAGTGGTCGAAATACCTGACTATGTTCCCTGAGCTGAGCTGCTGTGAGTGCCTCTGATAGACAGATATTAGATCGACATATGTGAACATATACAAACACACGCATACAATTCTGTCATTCACATGCAGACCTGAGCTAGAGATGTTTCTTTTGGCAAAACACCAGCAGATTCTTTCTCTATGTAGCACACAATGTAAGAGACTTCAGGAAGCAGGAAAAACATGACTCGCTTTAAAAAAAAAAAAACCCTCTGTGGCCCCTGTCCCATGTTGTCATGCCGCCCAACCCCCCCCCCCCCCCCCCCCCCCACTGCCGCCCAACCCCCACCGCCACATACACGATGTGGCCACTTGGCAGGCACTGTCCAACAAACCAAACCCTGGTGACACACACGGGCCCCTTGAAGAACTTCCTGCAAGCCAACTTCAGCAAGTGGCTGAATTCCAGAGTGACTTGTCAGGCGCAGGAGGGAAAGGTTCACACCTGTTTAAGCACTGCTGACTGATGGATATTCAAAAGCAAATCCCACAGTCACACCCACTCTTCAGGCCTCGGGGAAGCCAGATGAGTTCAGGGGCTGAGATACTGTGTGGTTGGAGGAGGGCATTTCCTTGTTCACTTTGCCTCAGCCCCTTTTCCCACAAGAGGAGTAAGAGAAGGAAGGAAGAATTGAATTAAAATGTAATGTTTATAGATGACTGTGGTTTTATTTTTTTCTAAAAAAAAAAAGAAGGCAGAAGAGGAAGAAGAAGATTCTGGCAGGCCTTGAGCAAGGTAGGCAGCCATCTGAATACATTGGTAATGGAGGGCTGATTAGTCTGGAGGGCTGCCTACAGGTTAGCGGGCCTCATTTCCAATCTCTGACAGCAATATGTGTCGTTTCATGCTTCATCCTCATTCTCCATGTTCAACACAAACCGGGGTCACTCTATATATGGAAATCACTGTCTCCAGGGCAAAAAAATTAAAAAAGGTGAGATTGCCGCTTTAACCTCGCTGGCCTCAGAAAATATGTTTTAGTCTGATACATTATACTAGTAGGAATTATTTATCAAGAAGATACAAGCTTGATATTTCAGAAATAATGAGATGTTCTGGTTTTGCAGCTGAAATTTTATGGTCCACAGAGCATCAGCTATGAATCCAAGGGAATAAAGTAAACTTGCAATGAGTGATATGCACTATGCAGCCAAAGAAAAATGGCCGCAGAGAGGGTGATATGAAACTTAGATCACAGGACCAGGCTTTCAGAAGCTAAGGCCCCTTTGTCTCTAGGAGAGGAGCTATATCTGAAGAAATGATAAAAAGAGAATTAAAAATAAGGCCCCATACTTAGAAAATCTCTCTGACATTCCTTCCTGGTATTTTATTTGGCAAAAGATCTACAGGACAAGGTAATTATAGTAAACATCCCAGTCACAGGTTACACGAACTACTTACAAATCCACAGCACAGCAATCCAAGGCAGCTCAGCATCTGACTGGTGCCACAACACTGATGTAGAAACAGATAAGAAGCAGGGCAAAGGCAAGCATGACAGTGTGTTCCGGACATGTCAATTTTGCTTACATATGCCTTGTCCTAAAAGTTTTAGTGATGAAAGCCGTTTGTCCTCTCTGGTTTTTGGGACTCAGAAAGGACTCCTTGGAGAAGAGTGGGAGTCTCTTGACTCCGTCACAGCTCCCCAGCACACAAAGCCAGAGGTAGCTGTGCCCACCCCCAAGGTCAGCTGTCTGAAACCATCCCTGGGGAATTCTGGGCCCCTCTGGGAATATTTAGCCAATAAGACTGATCAGAAGAGCCCTTCATTTACACATACAGCTTTGAAAGGCTTGCTTCCCAGCACAGGGTGTTAGCAAATAAATATCAATGATATAAAACCTCTTGTAAACATAATTACCCAAAGTAATAGGCTTCCATCAGCCTCTCACAGACCTGTGCATTTACACTCTTATCCAGGGTCACCCAAAGCAAGAGATGCTGTGCTGGGTGATGTACTGGGTGTAAACACCAGAATCATCTCTCAGAACGCCTAATTTCTTTTTCAGCTGAAGAATAGAGTTACCAACACCCACTTCACAAGGCTGTTATGAGAAATGAATTAGTTAACAAGGGCAGAACATGTCAGCATCTCTGGTAGGGGACAAGGCTTCATTACAGGTTGTCAGCTGTCTTGTGTAACAATGATAGCCATTGACCCTCCTATCTGTCACATTTCCCGGTCACAGAACACCTGAGATTTAACTGGTCACATGGCTACATGGTATCAGGACCGTTACACAGCTTCCTGTGCAGCGAAGTGTAGCCAGATGTGGAGCCAGTGGTTATAGGGAGTGTCATGCATGCAGGTTCCAGGGAGTTTTAGGAATGCATTATTCACTCCATTCTGCTATACAGCAGGTGGGTGTGATGGCTAGTGCTCAAGCAGTCATTTTGGGCCTCTAAGGAAAAGATCTATGCTGAGCAAAGCAGAGAGTCAGAGACCCTGACAACACCCTGAAACTGCATGAGCAGCCCAGATGATGAACAACTGTGGACTGATTTTATAGAGGGAAATACACCTTTCGTTCAAGTCACTGTAATTTGTGGTTTTCGTCACTTGCAGTAAAATCCATTCCTAAGTGACATACCATCTTTTTTCTTTTTAATGAAGTATCTACCTTATGTGTATAAATGTACGTGCACAAGACAGAGGACAACCTCAGGTGTCAGAATGCTGTCCACCTTAGTTTTGGAGTTTATTGGGCTGGAGTTTGCATGAGGCTACACTGGATGGCCGGTGAGATGCCGTGATCCTCCTGTGTCTGCTCCCCTAACATGGGGAATTCAAGTGCTGCTCCTATGCCTGACGTTCTATGTGAGTTCTGGGGGTGGAGCCTAGGTCTTCGTGCTCACAAGGCAAGCACTTTACTGGCCAAGCCATCTCGTCAACCCAAATGTCTTTAACAGTTTTTTTTATAAGTGGGTATGGTGACTGTTCTGGCCAGTGTCTCAAGAGTATGAAGCTATTGTTGTCAAGACAGACATTTATATATCAATATTCAAAATAACACTTCTCACCCTAGGCATCTGTAAGGGGGGCAAAACAAACAAAAACAAGAACTAGGTTTCATTTTTTAAAATGTTGATGTCCATGGGCCCTGCATTTACCAGACCTGCATTTATTATAACCTTAGATAAAATGAGTGCCAGGAAGAAAGGGGAACATCGTCTAAGAAAAACTGGGTCAATTTCCGTGGAACAAGCCGGAGTGTGCAAAGATGAAGACATCCATGGTCCATAAACCATCCCGTGAAACTTGCTCGTAATCAGATGCATTTTAACATAATATCCACATTGTGCCAGATGTCCTCACCAAACACAGCAACAAATAGGATTTGGAAATGTGAACTGTCTATTTTGTCATGTCTTACTTCTATGACATCATCGGGATTTTAAGGGTGAGTACTTTTATTACATATTTTACTCTGCATTCGATTATACAGCTAATTTTAAAAATTATGCTTTCAAAGTTTGTATTTTCTTCCTGATACATGATACTGCTATTGGCTACCTACTCATTTTGTTCACTTCCTTGGAAATTCTAATTTTGTTCAGGCAAAAAAATACTCAAATAGTATGGTCTTCAGCTTGCCAGATCCAACAGAGTCATGTATCCTATCTAGTTTTTATTATCAGTGCGACACAATCTAGAGTCCCCTCGGAAAACGGAACCTCAGCTGAAGAATTGCCTCCTTCATACCGGTCGGTGGCTATGTCTGTGAGAGCTCGTGTTTGGTGCGGGAGGGTCCAGCCCACTGTGGGCGACACCAGCCCTATGCATATATGCCTATGCTATGTCCAAAAGCCAGCTGAGACCAAGCCAGAGGGCTGCAAGCGCTCCTGCTGGAGTTCTTGTCCTGACTTGCCCGGATGATGGACTGGGGCACTGCCAGCTGAAATAAACCCCTTAGTCCTCCCTAACTGCTTTTGGTTGGAGTATTTTATCACAGCAACAGAGAGCAAACCAGAATATCCTATGACACTATCTTTCTCCAATGAGAAACGAAGATCTACACCAGAAATCCTTGTTTTCTTAGAAAGGAAGGCAGATATGATTGACGCTGTTGGCTCCACCCTGCTGCAGATGCCAGTGTAGCACGGGATTTACCCAAGGCGACAAGCGAGATAAAAGCCAACACACTAGAGAGGACAGAGCAGGGACGTAGAAAGCCTCGTTTCTCGATAGCGTCACTGAGAAGAAGAATGAATGCTCTCAGTCACCAACCTCCAGACTTCTTTTCATGGACGAGAATAATAGCTCTTTACTCATTTAAGCTCATGCTGTGGCGTTTTTGTTGCTTGAGGTCAAAGACTATCTTAACTGATCCTCTCTCAAGCAAATGAAAAGAACCTTGAAGACTTTTCTCAATTACTGTGCCCCCCATATGCACATAGATGAAAGCTTAATTATTTCAGTAGACATTTCTGAACTTCATACATGTGCCTCTACTCCCATCCCCAGGGTCCATGAAAGAAAATGTAGAAATATTTAAATGTGCAGTCCGATGCAGAGATACTGAAGGCGTCTGTCCTAGTTTCCTTATGGTGGCTATTACAAAATACCCTCAGGAAGATCAGTTTAGGAGAGGAGGGGGTTATGTAGCTCACAATTTGAAGTTACAGTCTATCAGTGCAGGAAAGCTCAGGGGTGAGAGCTTGAGGCAGCTGCTCACATCATATCACAGTTCACTACAGAGAGAGAATGGATGCATGCTTGCTCACCTGCATCCTTGCTTGTTCTCAGACAGAGCTCCCCAATCCTATACAGGTCAGGATCCCCTGCCCAGGGAATGGTGACTCCCAAAGTGGGAGTCTGGGTTTTCTCACATCAATTTATTTATCTATTTATTTATTTTTGTGTTTTCAAGACAGGTTTCTCTGTGTAGCTCTGGCTACCCTGGAACTTGCTCTGTAGACCAGGCTGGCCTCTAACTCAGAGATCTACCTGCCTCTGTCTTCAGAGTGCTTGGATTAATGGCAGGCACCACCACCACCCGGTTCACATCAATTGATTTAATTAAGTCAATCTCCCTGCAGAGACGCCCATAAACCAACCCAAAGTAGATAGTCTTTCACTATCACTCGTTTCCTATAAGGCTCTAGGTTGTGCCAAGTTGACAATGAAAGGTAACCATCACAGCATCTTGTTGCTGGAGAAGTTCTCTCCAGCTCCCACTGCCAAGCCCCACCAGTCCCAGAGACCACTTAAACACACAGACGCTTACATTATTCAAACTGCTTGGCCATTAGCTCAGGCCTATCACTGTCTAGCTCTTACTCTTATATTCAGCCCATTTCTATTAATCTATACTTTGCCACGTGGCTCATGGCTTACCAGTACTTTACATCTTCCTTGTCCTGGCGGCGGCTCCAGGCCGCTCCTTTCCTTCTTCCTTCCTCAGGTCTCCTCTCTGTTAGTCCTGCCTATACTTCCTGTCTGACAATTGGCCAATCAGTGTTTATTTACATATAGTGATATCCACAGCAGCATCTTGGGTGGATGAAGAACAATAATGATTAGGAAAGTTCTGGCTATGACTGGGAATATAAAGTAACCACATCCGTTACACCCAGACACTGTCTACAAAGACATAGCATGCCTCCTCACAGCTTTGTTCCTACATAAAAATGGTCAGCCATGAATCAGCAGACATGTGAAGAAAGCCAACAAACAAAGTTAGCAAACATGGAAATCTTATCAGGAGAAAGTAGAGACAATTCAAAGAATAGAAAAACAAAAAATAATTAAAACAATAGAAAACAAATCTGATCTGAATTCTTAGACATCCAGGAAAGTATTGAAAGCAATACTATCTTTAAAACTAATAGAGAATATTTGAAATTGGAAGACTTAATTGTTGAAGTAAAATTAACAGATTAATTAAAATTGTTGAATTGAAAATTAATTGTTCAATTAAAAATTAACAGAATAATTTGAGGAATATCTGAAGAAAAAAACATTAAAGGAAAAAGGTAAAGGACTAATGTTGAGATAAGAAGTACAGGACAGAGATCTAAGATGTAGAGAGAAGTTCAGGCATGCATTATGTGTTCAAAAGAGTTCTAAAAATGAAAGAGTAGAAACACTGGAGATGAAGAAATTAGCAAAATCACAGTGGTAGCAGCAAAACCATAAGAAGATTCCCAGAGCTGAAGGGAGAGGCACAGCACTGCAAATCCTACGGGACAGTTAGCAACGAGTAGATCACACAGGACATTCCCGTTTCAGATAGGACAGTTAGCAACGAGTAGATCACACAGGACATTCCCATTTCAGAAGGGACAGTTAGCAACGAGTAGATCA